AAATGCAAACAGGCCCGGGGGGATAGCATGGCCTTCCTCTGCCACAGAAACGGTCTGCAAGGAAGCACATAGTGGAACCTAAGAAAACCATCCCTTTTATTAACTAATGCTGAACGCTTACGCCAGAATTATCCATGATCAACTGTAGCCTAAGAATCTAATTGGGGATGCTCTCCGACTCCTTCTGCTCAGTAAGCCCTTTTCAAAACAAAAACACACTGCATGGTTAATCAGATTTTTTTATGAATATGTTTGAATCTTTAGAATACGGCGTTTCCATTTTGCTCATAATCCACAGCAGCTTTGGCACTATAAGCCACCATGACAGACTTTGATTCCATTTCAACTCGTCTTTGGTTGCAAGATTTTTATTTTGTTTTTGTTTTTTTTAATTTAAAAAAAAAGACAGGGAAAAAAAACACAAAACCACGACAGAACCAAATAAAAGAACAAATTAAAAAATCACTCAGAATATTTGTTACATTATCATCATCATTAATTTTTTTCAAGTCACTTCTAAGCCCCACAGTTACAAATAAATTAACAAGACAGGATAAGACCCCGGAAGATTAAAAATTAAAAAAAATTGAATACTAAGAACTAACTACCTTTGGCAAAGTTATCACACGATTTTTCCACTGCTCCCGGGTTGGCTACAGCAACAGGCCAGTCGTGTTGGGGGTGGTGAGGAGGCAGGAACCGGTGCAGCATCCCTCACATGTCAGCCCATCTGACCCACTCCTCCCTGGTGTCAAGGTATCATGTGAGAGTCCCTTTTCTCATGACCCAGATACAGGCCAGTGGTAACACGGAAAGCACCCAGGAGCAGCAGTCAGAACGGCAAAAAGGGAGAGAACCTCAGCAGGGCCTTAAATGGGACCCTTGCTCAAGGCTTCTAAAGGACGCTTGTGTTGAGGGGGACTGTGCCCCAGTGGGGCTTTGGCACTGGCATGCTCTTGGACCCCTGTAGTCAAGAGGTCCTGCGATTTACTCTGGTGTAAGAGCTGCCCGTCGCATTACGGCAGAACTCCCTTTATGTAAACAAGGCGCATCAAGCTTTGTCCTGCCCTCGTGACTCTCTCCGACTTCTCCATGGGTTCAGTCTTGTGTCCTCTGCCCAACCAGCGGAGACTCTTTTGCCACGAGAATAGTGAGAGAATCTCCACGGCATCGAACGACACTAAAAATTTAAGAGAAGGGATCGCATCTCCTGGGATCAAGGCTGTTCTCTTGATTTCCCTCCATGGGGGAGAAAGGGGATGCTGCACCTTATCCCCGCTGCCCCAAACAGACCCGTCCGGCACACACCCTTAATAAAGCTTTTCTATTTGGTTTATCATTAAAGTATATGAGGTATATGGCGGGCTATCTCCAAAGAGCCTTGTGGTGGGTGTCTTGGCACTCTCAGGGGAGGGAAGGAGTCTAGCCTGCCCCCTCTCCCTTGTGCCCTCCCAGCCCTCGGTTGGGCACCGGCACGGAGGCTTGTGAGCAAATATTTGGTTTTACAGCTGTACTTTAAAGCTTGTTTCCTTCCGCATTCTAAAACTCCTTGGAGTGGGGGAGGTTGGTAGACCAGAGGTGTGACTGTTTTTCAAAGAGGGACACAGCATCTTGTTTCTCTTATCGGCCACTTGGGGAAACATGTGGACCAGAAAGGGAAGGTCCGTTATGGACAATCAATCCTTCAGTCACATCAGATCGGTGGCTAAAGTACCAGGTAGTTTTGTTCTGAATCAATCAACATCAGTGTTTCCCTTCTCAAGTCAAGAATAGCTCTCCGTCTAGTCCTGAAGAAAACTCCATGAAATACAGTCACCTATTTAGGAGTGTGGGGGGGGGGGAGATGGTGGGGTGGCCCTTACCTTGTCCACAGTTGCACAATTCACAACCTCCCGTATCTCCAACCGGTAAGCTGAAGACAGGTGATCGCTTGTAAGAGTTGGAAAGGATTTGAAACACACAGTGCTTTCCCTGATGTACACCCACCTGTTTCTTTTGATCCGCTGTTGCTTCTGGTCAAATAATTGGCTGGTATTTGAAAGCAAGGAAGCAAAGCTGCCCATATCACCCACCGCCATCACTTAGGCAAGCTACTTCCAGCTCTGAAGAAACGAACACCTGTCTCCAGCTTATGGGGCTGCTTCTGGCTTCCATCTTCTTTGCTTGCGCTCCACATCTTGACTGTTTCCCTCCGTGCCATCCACCCATCACTCAACTCTGCACATGGAGATAGGGTCATTTTTGGTCTAGAATCAATTTTTTTTAAAAAAAACACGTTTTGGTTTTTGTTTCTTTTTTTGTGGATTTTTGTTTAGTTTTTTTTCCTTTTTTATCTTTTTTTGTTGCAAACCTTTAGCGTTTGTTTGTTTTTTTGTCTTTTTTAATACAGTAAGAAGCGATAAAGCAGAACATAGGGTTTTCTCTATAAAAAAAAATAGAAGATACCCCCCAAAAGAAGTTCTTTTAAAAAAGAAAAGAAAAAGAAAAAGAATAACAAATATCACTAAAACAGTTACATTCCACCTAGTAACACGTTCAGCAGCACATGAGAGAGAGAGACAGAAAGAAGAATTTGGATTTCCCATATGTTTTTCTTTTTCAAATGTCCACCAGAACAGCATGATTGGAATCTTAAAATAGACGGGTAATCATTTGCCGGTTCTCTCTCACTCACGCACATAATGGGATGAAAAACCTTTTTTTTCAAGTCAGTCTTGTAAACTAGGTGTTTCCTGTTTATTTTTGTTTGTTTCATTTTTGGAAAGTTTCACAGTATTTTTTTCTTTTGTTATCTCAAACCCACCTGAACGCTATAACACAGCAAAAGCAGGAGATAAAATGAGGTCGAGGTTTTTTCCTTTAAGAAAGGTTTCAAAGTCCTTTTTTGTTTGCTTATCTTTTTTTTCACGCTGTCCTTTTGTTTGGTTTTTGTTTTCTACCAGATCGCAGTATGCCATGGCTAACTTCCTTCTCTGCAACAGCAAGACTTTGGTTCGCAGGAGTTGAAAATAAAGACAAACATTCAAAGAGCCCCCCAAAACAGCAACTAAAATCCCTCAAACACGTTAAACAAACAGAACAAAACCAACCTGTTTAAAAAAAAGAAATCAACAAAAAATGTACAAAAGAAGTTTAAAAACAGAAATAAAAAGAGCGTTTCGAGAAGCCATTTTTAAAGCTTTCCAGACTTCTGGGAGGAAAGTTTCAGGGTCCTCACCCTCCCATTTCCTTTGATTTGGTTTACTTTTTGTCTCTTTGCCATTTATAAAATCTTGGCTTCTCAACGCAACTTTCCATGAGGTATTTTTTTTCAGGACAGAGAAAGACGGTTGAGCCACTTGTCTAACCAGAGAAAGTAAAGATTTCCCCTTTATTCCCATGTTTTCATCCTTTCTTCTTCAATTAAAAGTTTTTTGTTTTAGCTTTCTTTGTTCACTTGGTTGGTTCTTTTTGGTTAAAAGTTTTTCTCTCACCTCCGAGTCTTTATGATATCCACACAGAAGGGGGAGTTCTTATCCCTCTTCCGTGGTTTTATTTTATTTATAACTCCCCAATGGTCTTCACTTTGTTGTCTTCTGTAGTGATATCTATCAATTTTTGGTTTTTTTCTGGAAAATGTAAAGAATGCTGAAATTCCCGTTTTTTTGTTTTGGTTTTTGTCAGGCACTGGAATATGAGTATTTTTTTTCAGAACACAGATATAAAAATAATAATAAAAATTACACATCCCTGTTTTCAAAACAAAAATCAACCCCTGATACTAACCCCAGGCAGAAATCAATAAAAAACTATAGCTAAGTTCAATAGAAAAATTAAAATTGGCAAAGAAAATGTTCAAGCTGATAGAACAAAATGTATACATGTTAGTGCTGCCCATCTGAAAAAACTGAAGACTGAGACTTTCAAGAAGGCCTCTTGTCCTGCAAAGAGATGGAGTATTTACTTTCTGTACTCCCAGAAGTAGCCCGACTGATGCTAGTAATTCCTAATTCATTATCTCTTCCATGGAGTAGGAAGGGGAGATCAGGTCGATGGGGCTAGCAAAGCAGGCTCTTCCATTAACATTTGATGTCCTATATTTGTGGCAAATTTGGTAAACTCATTCCCCCTTACCCTCCATTTCAAGCCAAGCAGGGCTAACTTAAGAATGCATGAGCGAGCAAGCTGGTCAAACATTGCTGTCTCCTATGAACTTTCATGGAGTTCATTCCAAGGCTGAGTCCTACACCAGCTCCTTGTCTCCCACCCCTTCCTAATCAAGTACAAGCAGAGGTGAAAAAAAAAAAATCATTGCAGGACATCGATTAGGAAACCAAATTCTGTAATAAAAACTTGGTGCCTAATTCCCATTATTGCCTTTGAAAATCCTAGCCTTCTTATCTAATGAGAATCCCCATTAAATTATAACACTTTTCATTTGTTTCATTAAAAAACCCAGGAAAAAAGGGGAAATTACATTTTAATAAAGGAAAAAAAGTTGTATAGTATGATCCTAAATTAAATCAACCCACCCCCTCCCTGTCCAACCCCTTCTGGATCCCAAAGAAAAAGAATAAATAAGAATAAATAAAAGAGTTTTGAAAGACATTCGACCAGACACAGAAGTTAGAAAAGTCTGTAAAAAGCTTTGGGTGAAGCTAGGACTGGTGATTTTTGGTGTGAGATTCATTTTCCCCTTAAGGATTTTAAAGGTGTTTTTTTTCTTTTTCTTTTTTTCTTTTTCTACAAAAACAAAACAAAACCTATCCCCCTTTATTTGTTTCCTGTCTGGAACTGTCCAGGAAACTAGAAGATGAAATAAAGAGAAATCATAAAAAAAACATTTCAAATAAACCACCGATAATCACCTTTTGCAAGGCATTTTGTTCTTGACCTTGGAGAGGAAAAAGAAAAAAGGAAAAACAAAACCAACGCCAAAAGTTTGGGGAATTCTTTTTGGTTTCTTCCTTTGTCCCTTTTTGCTTTGCTTGTTTGGTTGCTTTGGGTTATTTTTGGTTGGTTTTTCGTTTGGCTGTTGCTGACATTTCTTAGTTTGGTTTTTTTTTGTGTTTTGGTTTTTTTGGTTTCACTCGTCGGTCTTTTGTACGTCCACTCCTTGCCACCCCCGTCGTGTCAGGAGAGGCAGTAGGGGTGCTTCTCAGCCCTCATTCTGTCTTGGCATCCGGCTCAGTGGATCCGGGGCCAGCTTGCCCCAGAGTCTGCGCCACGTCACTGGAGGAACTGCATGAGGAACAGGAGGAGGAGGAGGAGGAGGAAGAGGAGGAGGAGGTCAGGGTGGGGGACTTGCTGGGCATGGAGGCAGCCACTGCCGCGGCTGCCGACACCAGCCCCACGCCTCCTGGGGCAGCACTCAGCAAGGGCAGGCCTGCATGGTTCAGGAAGAGCGGCGCGGTCACGATGCTCTGGCTTCCGGTCGTGCCTGCACTGGTACCCAAGACCAAGTTACCACTGGCATCAAGGCTGGTAATCGGCAGGCTTCCACCACTGGCCAATGCTGCACGGGAGGGGAAAAACATGGTTAGGACACCTTTGCCCTGGCTGCTGGGCAAACGTGCAGCCGGCCCAGGAGAACGGCGGGGAGCTGTGGCTCCCCTCGAGGGCCCATCGCACGCCCGACGTTCTCCGGGACCTTGGTCTGCAGCATCCCGAGCACACAAATACCCACCTCCCCCAGCATACTGCAAACCGGAAAGATGCATGGAGTGCAGAGAGGGTGGACGATGGATGATGAGCAGGCATGAGGTGGAGGATGCATGTTATGGGATACAATGCCTTCTGTTATAAGTCGGCTGAGGATGGGATGGAGACACGACCTCAGGAGGAAGGAGAGCAGGTTCTCGGGGACTCCACTGGCTTGCCGGACTCTCACACCTCTGCACCCGTTTGCACACGGCTCACAGGCATCCACACCCAGACGCGTCACATGCCTGACGTTGGAAGGGGCGTGTGGAGGCCTCCCTTGGTGTTTTAGGCCAGGCCTAGTTCTAAGCAGGAGCTGCAGCTCTGTGCCGCAGCATATGCGGTGTCTCCAGAAGGCCCAGGTTAAATGTCCTGCACCTCCACTTCAAAGGAGCTCGGGTTTACGCCTGGAAGTACCTCTGCTTGCATCCTTGGGGAGCTGCTGCCAGCAAGGACTAGATGGACCCCCGGTGTGGCTCACAACAAGGCAGCTTGATCTACGCAGTCTGTGACCCATCAAGTTAAACACCAGCCCACCCGTCATATGCCGTGGCTGGACAATTCCTTGTTGTGTCGAGGAATTGATTTCACTGTTGTTATTATTAGCAGTGCACGGACAGAAATAGCCACACACCGGAAAATGGCTTCTAGCTATGATGCAGGCAATCGGGTTTCATGAATCTGGCATCTAATGTTGGCTAAAGGACTGACACATCAGAACAGACTGGAGATGAGTTAAGCAGTATTGGCTTATTGAGATTTGGCTTTCATTTGTCTCATATATTAACAAAGAGTTGCAAAGCTGTGCCCTTGGCCATTTCCCGTATCTGTCTGGATTTTTTTTCGTAATTCGTTAAGCAGTCACATCAGGACAAAAAGGAAAACTCAAAGCTGGTGATACAGTCTGATCAATTTCCTAGTCCAGTGAGCTAAAATAAAGCAGGTGCCTTACATCTCCCTGTGACTAGAGAAAGCAGAGTCGCGTGTCAGTGGTACAACCTGTGTTTTGCACACAGCAACCCTGGTCCAGCCCCAGTATCTTCAAGTCAAAGCAGGAATGCTGAGCCTTTTCCAGCCCAAGAGCCAAGTTCAACGTCAAAAAAGCTGAAGTCGCAAAATGCCAATGCTTTTAGCGTAAAGCGCTTACTGCCAGTAACTACCCCTTAGAAGAGGCACTTCCAAAAGAGAAAAGAGGTAGATGTCTTCCATTTTCATAATTATGCAGGCTGCACATTTAGCTTTTCTTGGCACAGAATTTAGAGTTTTATTCTTTTAATCACAGGGTGTATATGCACAGTTCTGCCTAATTTCTGGGTTCTTAGACATCTGTCTGAATACACGGTGGCGAGTGCCGTCTTAGAAAACGCTCTCTGTTCTGTGTAAGAGGAGGCGGAAGTCCTCGTTTCACGTTGTGGCTGCCGCAACCCGTGTGGGCATCATCTACATCGAAGGAAGTGCACTAACCTGCAGGCTCCATCTCACAATTAAAGGGAAAGGTTTCCCCTTGGCGTTACGTCCAGTCATGCCTGACTGTAGGGGGCGCTGCTCATCTCCCTTTCCTGGCCGAGGGAGCCGGCGTTTGTCCGCAGACAGTCTCCGTGGACACGTGGCCAGCATGACGAAACACCAAAGTGCACAGAACGCTGCTACCTGCCCACCGAAGTGGTACCTTTTTCTCTACTCGCATTTGCATGCTTTCGAACTGCAAGGTTGGCAGGAGCTGGGACGGAGCAATGGGAACTCACTCCGCTGTGCAGATTCGAACCGGCGACCTTTCGCTCAACCAGCCCAGCAGCACAGCGGTTTAAACCACTGCGCCAGCTGCAGGCTCCACCTCACCATCAGCCCATGCCAAACCACGCCCCCCCCCCCCCGTGTTGGCCCCTCCAGGCTCTCTCCAGCCGCTCCATGCCGTGCACACGCCACCCACGCTCAGAGACCTCGCCCGTGCATACAGACAAGACGGCTTCTGTGCAAACACGCTTGCGCTCTCGTGCAGACAGACTCGTGGAGGGGATGGCAGCAATGGCGTCATGTCTGGGTTGCTTTTTCACAAACCTTGTATGGTGGCCAGTGGGTTGGTGGCCATGAGCGCTGGGTTTAACCCTGCATTCACCCCTAGCACTGTGCTTCTGAAATCAAACCAGATGCAGCCGGTTAAAGCGGGGCGGGGGCAGCCTGCGGCGGAAATACTTGGGGGCACGGCCAGAGCATGGCAGGAGGATGCGGCCAGGAATTCCCTCAGGGAGCAGCCGACGTGGATTCCGCTGTGAGGTCCAGCTCCCCTACCCTTTTGCCGAAGTGGTGCCCCTCGCAAGACCGGGTGCCCAGAAGCCCCTCCCCACTGCCGCTGCCTCCGCCTCCACGGGACACGCCGGGTCGGAGTCCTCTTTCCACAGCCCAGCCCAGCAAGTGACTGGAACCCGGGCAAAGACCCGCCACTTACCCTGTACTGGGATTCAGGCCCTGCAAGCTGATCGCCGGGTGAGTGCTGCCCTGCGGACTGGAGTTTGTGCTGTTGCTTGGGGGTGGCGTGACCGAGTTGAGGGTGCTGCCGCCTGCTCCCACCGCTGTCCGACTGGGGGTCAGGGAGCAGACTGTTGGGGACAAGGTAGTAACTGCCCGGGAGAAAAGCACAGGACGCAGCGGTTAGGGGTGCAGGACGGGACTCGGGCGATCGGGGTTCAAGTCCCTGCTCAGCCATGGAGCTCACTAAGGGTCTTTGGGCCAGTCACAGACTCTCAGCCTGCCTGCCTGCCCCACAGGGCTGTTGTTGTGAGAACGAGAACCCTTCTTTATTCACTTGATTAAGTAGCTAACTGAGTGGGATGCTGTAACGTGGTGTCCTGCCACAGCGGGGGGTCGGACCTGATGGCCTCCTTCGTCCCTTCCATCTCTACTATTCTATGGTAAGAGGAGAAGGAGCTCCCTTGAGTTTCTTGGAAGAAAAATGGTGGGATATGAATATAATAAACAAACAGTTTATAATCTGCCAAGCAGGGGAGCCCTAAACTATGGTGTCCAGGCCACCAACCCCAACTCTCCCCTAGAGGAAGGGATTCAAGGGGCAGCAGAGAAATGCATGGTGATTCAGCCAGAGCCACTCAGGAGCATGATTTTGCTATGCTTCCCTCTGCCCTTGAAAGAAATGGCAGGTAAGATGCAGCCACCCCTTATGTTGCGCTGGGTAAGCAATAGAAGAAATGGCCTCCAGTGGGAGAAATATCGGCACTAGCCAAGAGCTGCACGTTGGTGCCTTTGCACTGATCCTGTGCCGGAGTGCAACTGGCGCTGTTTGGTGATGGAGCGAGCAGTGCAGCTAGTCGTGGTACAGTGAAACCCAGGAATCAGGCGGCAGGACGCCTGGCACAGCCAGGGAGGACCCAGAGCCCCGGCTGCCTCTTCAGAGGCTGCCTCCTTCCCTTCGCCCCAGGAGGAGATATCTTGGGGCGGCTGGGGCAGCAAGGACTGCTCGAAATGTTCCATCCTTCCCCTCATTCCTATACATCAACCGCAGCCCCGATCCATCTCGACAAGCTCAGCATCTTAAGTTCTCAGCATCCCATTAGCCAATTGTGCTAGAAGGATGCACAGGAAAGACAACTACCTGTTGTGCTCAGACTACTGGAAGCCTGGGAGAGGGGCAGACTTGTGCCGGTGCCGGGGCTGGTCACCTGCGGAAAAGCAGTGGGAAATGAGGCTGTCACAGTGGACAGAGTCCAAGAAATAGGCTCCTCCCCGAACCCAGGAACCTAATCTACTGGGGATCATGTCCAGGAGGAGTAAAGTGTATGAGGCAGGGAGGGAGAGAGGGAGGGAGAGAGGGTCTGAGTGTATATGCAGAGGGCAGGGAAAGCTTTTAAAAGGACAATTGAGGGGCTAAGCACAAATGTCGTAACTTGAGCACTGAAGACAAAGAAAGAAGGTATGTCCCAGATGGAGTCGACCCTCCAGTCTTTTGACTGTCACAGGAGTCCATTCTTTCTTTTATTCACATGGGGTAGTGAGAGCAGGAGGAAACGGGTGGGCCTTGCACCATGCATGGGGCTTCATCCGTGGAGAGAGAACTGGATAAGCAGATGCCACCATAGGGGAGGTCAAAGAAGGGAAGGGAAGGATGACAGCAGGGCTTGTACGGGGCCTAGGAAGGGATGCCTAACAGCAATGGAGAGATCCAGGTTACGTGCAGAGGGGAGAGGAGCAGACGGCTTCACCTCCGGGCTGTTGTGGAGGCAGGGGTGGGAAGGGGATTCACAGAGTGAGGCTACAGGAGGAGAAGGCACTGTGGCATGTTCCGTAGGAGGGACTGGTGACAATCTGGCAAGGGAGGGACACTGAAATAGGCGCCCCATACGATAAAGCAGCTGCGGAAACACGTGTTGGTGGGGAGGGGGGTGGGAGAGAGAAGATGGGTAGGACTGTACCAAGTGAGGGTTGTAGCCTGGAGGCTTGCCCTGGGCAGGCAACATGGGCGCGGAGCTGCAAGGATTGATCCGCTTCTCCTTCTGGCGGCGGTTGCAGAACCAGACGCGGATCACCTCCTTCTCCATGTTCAGTTGTTCGGCAATCAGCAGGATCTCCTCTGAGGTAGGCTTCTGGTTCTGAAACGGCGGAAGGACAGGCCGGCGTGACGGCAGGAACGCACCGGGGCAAGTGACGACACAGAGCCATGAGACGCACAGGGACGTGGGCGGAGGGGGGGCGGGGGGAGCCCTGCACTCCTTCCGGACAGTTCGATCTCTCCTCAGGCTGCCACCCAGATCGGAGACCGAACGGGTGGGACTGTCTGTCTGCAGGCAGGCAAGGACGTGCTGTTTACGTTGGCCTATTGGTTAAACTGAAGAGAATTAAAGGACTAAGCACAGCTGAACCCCACAACTAATCCTCTGGGACCAAGCGGCAGAGAAGTCTGCCGTGGGTTTGGGGCACCTGGCTTGGAATTGTAGCCCAGCTAAAGTTTTGCTGAAAGGCCATGGGCAAGTCTTGCTCAGCTTTGGTTTCCCTTTCCTGTCAAGTGAAAATAGGTCTCAGGAATCGCTTGGGCCGTTAGCAGGAATTCCCGGCTCCCTCAGAGGCTGCCCCACGCAGGGAAGTCTACAGGGCGGCAGTTTGCAAGCCTTCCTAAGGAACTCTGGAACGTCAGAACTCTACTGCTGTACTGTTCGAAGCGAAGCATCGGCTCTGCCCATTAGGCCTTCCTAGACAGAATACAGGTTGAAAGACTGGGGGGAAACGGGGGGGGGGGGGCTGAGGGCTCACACTGTGCCTGACCAGTCCCCCAGAGTTCAGTAAACAGGCTTAAAGTATTGTCTGACCCTGCCAGGTATTTAGCTTTGTTCCATACTTAATTGCATCACTTCAAAGCAGATATTAAATGGCTGGGAAGCAGTGTGAGTGGGTGTTGTTTTGGAAAGATTTCGGGAGGGGGTGGCCCGAGGCTGCCTCACCGCGAGAAAGCTTTTTTCCAGTGCGAAGCGGACATTGGTCTCAATGCTGGTCCGTTTCTTGCGGCGCCGGCCTGGCAGCCCATCAAACCCCAGGTTAGGACTGCTTAGCTGGTTGGGACTGGGAAGCGTGGAGTCCACCGACATTGTCTCTGCAAGGTGGAAGGAGACACTGATTCGCGTCATCCTATGGCTTGGGACACTTTCACTCTCTCCATTTTCCTCCAACTGGGCCTAGTTCCTACCCTCTTACAAACCTGAACTCTGGCAATCTGAAAATCTTCAAGGCTATAAAATGAATTTCCTCAAAGCCTGGAATGAGCAGTCTCTCCTTCAGCCCCTGGGTAGTTTGGCCAGGTCGGTGTCTTCCCACCAACTCTCCCAAGGCCTGTCTGAACTCACTGGCTCCCCCACACTCTTCTTAAGCAGGCCCTGATCAGAACCAGCCGCAGATCATGGAGCTAGGCTCCCCCTGCCCTGCACAGGACCTCCTCGGGGCCCGTTAATCCTTCACTTTCCTCTCTACCACCCAAGCCTGGCTGTAGCTCCTTCAGCAAGACAAGCCCTCAAATCCTGAACCTCTTCCTCTCTCACCTCCAGGCCCACTCACCATCCACACAACCCCAGCTCGAGGGCTTGCAAGAGCCCAGCTTGCTCTCCCTGAGCTCCTCAAACACGGCCCGGCCCTCCTGCAGCAGAGCAGCCCCCAGGCATCTCCCGGGCCCGCCGCCTCCTCTTACCAGCATCATTGAGCCATTTCTCCAGGAGGGGCTTGAGCTTGCACATGTTCTTGAAACTCAGGTTGAGTGCCTCAAAGCGTGAGATGGTTGTCTGGCTGAAGTCATTTCCATACAGCTTCCCCATGGCCAGCCCCACATCACCCTGTGCAGGATGGGGGAGGGGGGAGGGGAGGGAGGGGGAGAGTTGTTACCGAAAGTCTGTTTCATGATTCCATCAAAACCCTGAATTTTAGGCTGAGAGCAGCTCAGCTGCCGCTGGACCAAACTTTCCAGCCTTTCAGATTCTGAAGTGAGGTGTGTTGGGGGTGTGTACAGGTATGTGCAGGAGGCTGTTTCCCCTGAATGCTTTCTCTAAACTACATACAGATGGGCCACTTCAGCAAATGCAGACTTCCCCATCCGTTGGGGTCCGCTCCTGTGTCTTCGGTGGGCTCTCTGCACTTCCCATTCCATTTGATTTAAGGTGCTGTTTGCAAAATACAAACTCAAGAGCAATATGGCTCCTGATGTTTAAAATCAATGGATTTTCGCCTGAAAACCTACACCTGGAAGAGCAGGGAAACTTGCATTTTGATGACACAGGCATTCATTCAGGCTGTACTCTGCATGGCTTTCTGCATGGAACTGAGAGCACTCTGCTTTCTGCATCAAACTGCTACAACCTGTCCCCTCAATCCACCCCCAGGACTGATCCCAATAAGCAAATTGCAAACCTGACAATGAAGATGGTAACTGCACATTCCAGAGTAGATAAATCAGCCGTGCTCTGTATTTATTTATTTAGGATATTTCTAGGCTGTCCATCACTTTCGTCTTGGACGGCTTATAATATTTAGCCTCTCCGATATCAGAAGAGGAACTGCAGTTTCTAGCGCTCAGGAGGCATCAAACTGCTGGCATTCCTTCTCCATGACAGGCAAAAACAGAGTAAATTGTGCAAAATGGGCACATATTGCTTATTTTCTTATTCTGTACTGTTCAAGCAGGTCACAGAATTAAGGTTTTTTTAAGGGTGTTTTTGGTTAAGAATTGTGATGGCTGCCTTCTCCCACCCAGAGTTAGTCCTGCTCTGCAGAGTTTCGCTTCACTTTCCACACATCCTGGCCTGTTCAAATTAGAAACTTTGCAGACTGGTTAGTGGAGCAAGCCAATGTTTCATATGAAATGACAAGGCAAAAGTGATGCTGCAGAAGATCTTCTCCCAGCCAGACAGGAGGAGGAAAAGGGAGAAGAAACCATGCAGGCTGGAGGCTTCGCTTTGAGTTGATCCAACTCATGCACTTAAACCTAAATCAAAGTTTAGCATTATGTCCAAACCAGCTCAGCGTCTCTATTTGGAAATAAGGCCAGGTCTGAAGTTTTCAACATCCAGAAGTTTGTGGGGTGCATAAAAGATATACTAATTCAAAGCCAGATCAGGAACAACTGTATTTGCTTTGATGATTCCACCAGGTGGCCAAATTCAACTGATTTGGAACATGACTGACTGGGACTATATTCCCATTAAGAAGTCAATACGGTTGTAGCTCTTGTCTTTTGCTAGCAGTGGGCTAGCCAAAAAAGAGGAGCTAGGGATTCTTTTTTCCTTGCATGTTGCAGTTGTTCACAGAAAAGGAGTTAGTGCCGTCCTGAGGGAAAGCAATATTCTACTCATTCACTGCAGCCGAGTCTGAGCCAAATATACCTGCGTGAAACCCAGTTTGATACGCCGCTGCTTGAAGGTACGGGCAAACTGCTCCAGCTCCTCCAAGTCACTGGGCTCCTCCGGGTGTGACGGGGTCTCCAGGCATTTGGGCGTCTGCGAGTGAGCGAGGTGGGACTCGGGGAGGCCAGGCCGAGTCACTTGCTGGGAGGGGGAAGAAGCCACAGGAATGGCACCAGCACAATCCAATGCAGCAGCAGCAGAATAATGATAACAGATTAATTATATCTCGATATATGACTGTATCGTGTATACTACATTAATTGTATATTAAAATAATATTATATATTATACATTCATGGGTTAAGCATTATATATTATACATTATAATATATAATATTATAATTGTACATTCTGGATATCCATAGCACTACCTGACCAAATGGAATGGGGGTTACTGTTCACCACCATCCATCAATTGCCATTTCATCAAAGACAGTACTTTAAAAAAAAAACCTGATGTACGGCTGCAAAAAGGAATTCAAGGTTTTGTTTATTCAGAGCAAGGAAAGAAATCACACCAAACTATTTTTATGAATGGCGAAAGTAACCAGTATGGGCAAGTAAAAGACTCAGGCCTGAACTCCTGAGCTGTGAGAGGTGCTCTGTATTTGGTAATGTGAGAAAAAGCCTCGCCTTTACTACGGTTTTGAAAAGGGTATAAAACCTGCCTGTTTAGAAGAAAGCGTGGATCTTTTTGCATCCAACATCCAAAAAGTTTGGATCTTTTATTTTGTCGATCTGTTGGAACTGGATTGGCTTTCAGATCATATTGTTTTGTTTCAGGTATGTTCTATTGTCACAGCATTGTTTGTTCGCTGCAAGTCACTTTTAAAAGAGGAAGATAGCGGGCACGATATGGCAACAAGGGATATCTGCAAGACATTGTTTTCCTCTTCACATTACTGGCCGTTTTACACATTTTACGCTCCCTTCCCCACTCACCTGTGCTGGGAGCCCTGCGCGAGGCTGGTTCGGCAGGAGACTCCCCGGGTTTTGCTGAGGTAGCTGAAAGAGATTTGGTGTCGGGAGCAGCCCTGTGGGGAGGACATGAAAAAAAGAGCTCAGCTCCGGCATCCGTTTCTGATTGAACTCATAACAGAAGCCTGAGGCGGACCTGCTAAAGGATCACGGCGAAGAAAGAAGGCATGCTTGTTTCCAAAAAGCCCCTCCTGAAAGAACGGGGCCCAAACATACCCGTAAGGAGAGTTCCTAGAAGTAAATACTCAGTTGGGTTCCTTCTGGCTGTTTGTGCTTCTGGAAGAGGCTCTGGTCAATAAAGAACGTTTTGCAAGAAAGGTCTGTGGCTCCGAATGAGCAAAGGGAGGAGTCCCAGCTCACGGCAGTGGCCTGGGTTGCTCCGGCCGGTGCTTTGTCTGAGGACACAGCTTTGCTATGCAAAGGCCTTCCCAAGACAGAGGAAGCCTGCACTGGGTGGATGGGGAACTGCCATGCACTGGATTAGGGTTATGGTTGGGGTCCATCTGTGTAAACTCTTAGGGGACACCCCTAGTACATGCTTACTGCAGACTTGGCTCACTCACTCGGAATGTTTGCAACATTATCAAATCACTGTATGTATTCCTGCGGAATTACTCAGACCACAGAAAAGCGGACTTTTAAAAAAGGAAAAAGAAAAAGAACAAAACAATGAAGCAGCGCAACCATCACAGGTATAAATTACCTTAGAACTACTTTTTAAGAGCCATAGTTTAGACATGTGCAGCAACATTTCAAGCCGGTAACTTTATCACCACTGAGGCCTATTTTCACATTTAATTACTGCGATTGTTTAAAAGAAATAGTTTAGTTCTTAAGCTATACATTGTAAACTGCATATTCAAAGAGTCATAAGCATTTGCATAAACAAGGATTATAACACTGAATTTAAAAGAAAGCAAAATCAAAAGATTTTTATCTCCACTGACCTTTTGGCTACTACCAGTTTAGCAGCCTGTTTTGTTTCGCACTTATGAAAAGCATTTTTTTTTATTCACAGGGGCAGGACCAAGCCACCCCTGTGAATAAGAAACCCAGGTAGCTTGTTCTCTGAGTGGCCCAAGGCATGCCAACACACTGGCCGAGGGCTCTCCCTGCTCCTTTGCCAGTCCAAATAAACTGCAAAATGTTCCTGACAGATTAAAGAAATCTTTAGAGGTGGCAGAAAGGGATGGCACGCCAACACTGCTTAGATGCCCCCTCCCACTCCCCCGAAGGCAACCTGGCTTTTGGTTTTCTTTTCTTTCAGTCCAGGGACTGCAAGAGCCACTGTGGTTAAGTGCCCCAGAAAAAAACTACAAAAAGTCAGGGAGTTCTTCAATCCCCTTTTTTTGGACAAGCTGTAGGCTTGGGGAAGTCTTGACAAGGTGAAGGGCAGTGAGAGCGGTCAGTTCAGTGCGTGATATCAAGCAAATCACACCTGCAAACTCCAGGTATATTTGATGCACTGACTTCTGCTTTTTCAGTCCTTTGCCGTGACGCAAATGGGTTCCTCCTTAGCATTATTTTCCTCCCAGCCCCTGCCAACTAAACGCACATTCACCTCCCGAGTCCCCTTGCCTGTTCCCTACTCTGCCTTGCCCTCCATGTGAAACACACAGAAATTGACCAGGTAAGGCTGCACAGGCCAGAAAGCCTGTGCTCTTGTGACAAGCTGACAAATTTTTGGCAATTTTAAAAAACACGGATGCAATTACACAGACCTCAGGGACTGGAAAATAATGTTTAAAAGGGCGGCAACCAGTGGCACTTCCTCCAAAGTGCTTCTGCAGCACCGGTGAAGGAGGAGTCGCTGCCAGGGGGTGGGCGGCAAGTGGCAGGCGTCTGTCGCTGGTGGCCGCATCCCACGGTGCCATGGCTTCCCGGGGCTTGGCCGACACACCCACCTATTGGAGTATGGATAATCCCTAGAGAGAGCGAGCGCGCCGTGGGCTGCCAGGGCGGCTTTTTCCCCCAAAAATAAGCCACCTGTGCAAAGCAGGCCGGCTGCAGGCGATGCAACAGGTACCCACGGAGGGTCCTTCTGCCGGGTGAGCCCAGCCAACGGCCAAGTGCTGCCGTCCTCCAGAGCACAGCAACCCCTTTCCAGTCCTGCTTGCAGGTTGTGGGGGAAGAGGAATGCAGTGCGAGAACTGCCAGGCCAGAGCCTGAGCCCGGCCTACCTCTTCGCATGGAGAGGAGCCCTCCTTACCTTGCTGTCCCTGCTGGGCCTGTGGCAGCAGGAACTGTGCGGGCGGCTGGAGGTGATGCCCTGGGACGAGGACTAACTGCTGGAGCTGGAGCAGCTGCTGAATGTCCTGGAGTGAGAAAGAGGACGTGACCCACGCTGCAGGTTTCGATCTGCTGTACGCCGGTTCTACTTTATCTGGGTGATTTTTACCCCGTCCGATACCCAGTGGGTCTCAGGACAGCTTACAGTTCAGATCCCATAAATACAGAGATACCCAAATAATACAATACAAATGAGCCACACAAACTGAGCATAAAAACATAGTTAAAATTAAACATTAAAATAGCAGGAAAATAAAAAGGGCTTTGCCTGATGCTGAGAAGAATATGACGTTGGTGCCAGGCGGACCTCTCTGGGGAGCGCATTCCATAGCCGGGGCGCCACCACAGAGAAGGTCCTTCTCCAGGTGTTCACACTCCTAACCTCCTTCAGGGAGGGTTCCCGGAGCAGGGCCTCTGCTGCAGATCTTATAGGACAGGTGGGCATATAGGGAAAAAGGCGTTCCTTTAGGGATCCTGGTCCCAAGCCGTTTAGGGCTTTATAGGACAATACCAGCACCCTAAATTGGGCCCGGGCTTCATTTGGGAGCCAGTGAAGCTGATAGAGGACCGGCGTTATATGAGAATAGTGACCAAGCCCCCGAAAGCAACCCATATGTGTGATGCACAGAAGCCACGACGAAGAACTGTGGCTTCTGCCAGAGACGCCTGCAAAGAGCAGGCTAGCGAGGTGCGGAGAAGTCTCAGCCCAGAAATTCAGGGCCAGGGTCTCCCCCGGGTCAGGATAACGCCTGCCAAACCTCTTTAGCACCGTGCCTCCGTCCGCCGTAGCCCAGGCGGTCAACTCATCTCCGGCAACTCCCGTGCGCGTCCGGCCCGGCCCGGCCTCAGAACGGAGCAGAGTGTGGGGGCTCGCAGTGCTGGGAAGCCGCACCGGCCCGGCCCGGAACAGGGAGACTGCTCGCTCCGCCCCGAGCCTTACCTGCGCAGTGAGCTGGATCGGCTGCGACAGGGCGAGCTGCGGCGTCTGGGGCGGGTTCTGCGGCGTGGGCAGCTCGGCCCCAGGCTGCTGCGAGGAGGCGGCGGCGGCGGCGGCATTGGATTGCTGCACGGCGGCGGCCAGGAGCTGTGCCTGGGCCTGCTGCAGAAGCAGCTGCTGCTGGGCGGGCATCAGGGCCGTAAGCTGGGCGGGCGGCGGCAGCAGAGAAGCAGCGTGCGGGAGGAGGCCGCCAGGCGGGCGAAGCAGGGGTGGCGGAGGGAGAGAGGAAGGGAGAGAGGATGAGAACGAGAACGAGAACTCGCCCGGACGGAGGAGGAGGAAGACGCGGGCCGGGCAGGTCCTTTCCCTCCTCGTTCGCAGAGGCACTGGCAAGCGACTCCTCCGGGGACCGCAGCTCCTGCAACGGTTAGTCGCGCCAAAGAGCAAGAGGCTCGCCCGGTGGAAGAGCAGAAGAAGGTTGCAGCTGCTTTGCTCCTGGCGGAGGCTCAGAGGCAAGAAAAGCCGGGGAGAGCCAGCGTGGCGTGGAGGTTAAAAGCACGTGCAGAATTGGGCTGGGGCTCAATTCTCCCCCTGCATTGCCATTGCAGGGCACACAAACATAGAAACAGAGCGATTCAGAAGGGGCCTCCCAGGCCATCTAGTCTGACCCCCTGCTCCGCTCATGACATGCCTACCGTCCCCATCCAGCTGTTGGCAGCCCACCCCATTTTTCCTCTGCCTCTTCCAGTGGACAAGGAGAATCTCAAGAGGGGTAGCTCTCAAGTAATCAATTAATTAATTCTATTTATATCCCTTTTTTTCCTTTCAAAGGAGCTCAAGGCAGGATACATAATTCTCTTCCTTTCAATCTTATCCTCAGAACAAACAACAACCCTGCGAGGTAGGCAGGAGTGAGAACCTGTGACTAGCCCAAAGTCTCCCTGTTGGCTCCAGGACTGAGTAGGGACTAGCACGTGGATTTCCTGAGTCCCGGTCCTACACTCTTCACCACTACACTGTACTGGCTTCGAGATAAATATATGAAATGCAGAAGGCACCCTCTAGAGAGAATTGCCCTGCTCATCTCATCATGACATTCAGAACCAGAGCCCCAGGCCTGTCTGCAGGAGCTGTGATCTCACCCAGCTTCTTGCAACCACATGACAGAATGCTCCTCCAGGCTGTGAGAACAGCCTTTATGTCACCCACATCCACAGCACCCCAACTGAAGAGCGGTTTCTCTCCCTGTCCACAGTGCCTCCTCCACTTACCCCAGCCAGCTGGCTGCCAGCTAGCATAAGCTGGGCCTGGGGCAGGTGCGGCTGCTGAGCTGCGGGGGCCGGAGCTGGCGCCGGAGCTGGAGGCATCTCTGTGGGGTCTTCAGCTTTGATCTGGAGGGAGACGACGAGAGGAAAAAACATCAACACAATTCCCTCCCCAGCTCTGCAGGGCAGCCGTCCTCCTGCTTCAGCTGTTGCTTTCTTCCGTGGCCTGGCCTGGATCCTCTTAGGTACCTACCTGCTCCCGTGTTTCTTTCCAGTGATCCTAGCCTCCTGTTCCCTCACCTTGAGAAAAGAAGTCTCTAAAACAGGGAGAAATACTTCGGGTTTCTCTACATGGGCTTTCAACCTGCCACTTCACCCAGGATTCTGCTTCCAGATTCTTGGTGAGATTAAAATCAGTTCTTTTCCTCTTGGGTGTTTTTCTTTTTCTGCCCTTTTGTATGTTCCATCACACAACCACAAGTTGGCATTGCAGTATAGTGGAACTGTGAAAATATGGTGCTTCTCACTCTGGTTCATTCCATCAAATCCAGATAATACTACGCTCTCCTCACTCGAAAAAAAGATGCAGGAATGCTTGGAAAAGACAGGAGAGGCCCTGGAGGAAGATAATGTTGTATAAAGCACAAGGAAACGACTGTGAGTGAGGAATCGCAGGCACACAATAAATGCCATGTGTAGAGACACCCACAAAAAGAAAATGCAGCAGTTTTAAACCGAAACCTTAGTGAGGCAGGCTGAGATGCTCATAACCAGAAATATAAGAATCCTCTTAAAGAATGCAGATGGTGGCTCGGTCAGGATTGTGCATCCACACTGAAGCAAAAACTTAACATTGCAGACCAAAACAAATCCAATTCTGCAACATGAATTCATGGTGCTCAATGAGCGCCTCTGCTTGCTAATTCATTTTGCTGCTGCGAACCACCTGGAAGGACAAAGAACAACGCAAGACACCAAAATCCCGCCCACTGACCACTGGAAGTTGATGCTATCTCTCTGCCGCATCGCCGCTCGGCTTCCTGTTTTGCAGCCAGGCCTGGGGTTCAGGGAATTCCCCCCACCACCCAACCTTGATTCATGAGTTCCTACCACATTGATAACAAAAGTGCGAGGCTGTTCACAGCCCTGCCCCACCCAGCTTTTTTCCTTTCAGATATATTATTTCGATCTTTCCCCTGCATGACCACCCAATCAGCCCCGTCGGCACATTTACAGCGAAGCGCTTTGCAATCCAAGAGGTGCAAACCAGGGATCCTTTGCAAGGCCACAGGAAGATGCCATTTTTGGTTCCTGCCAACGTTCAACTGTTAGCATTGATGCGTCTTTCAGTCTCTGAAAGAGGCAGAGACTGTGGTTTTGTCGTTTTTTTCCCAGTTTAATCTGTTTATCAAAAGGCAGGGGATTAATAACTAATGATGTCTTTAACCTTTTCACAGCTCCAGCCTGATGACTCTCAACCCAGCAAAACCGGTTTGACAAGAGATTGTTGAGGTACGGTTTTAAAAATGGCATGTGGAAGACCTCCACCCTTCTACCTCCAAGTCTCCAGAAAGCAATTATCTGTACACAGCCTTAGATCGTCCAAGTCATGTATATTTTGGGCTTTGCATTGGTACCTGCTGAGGGCACGAGGCACTGATCATTTGAAAACTACACAGGTATCGCCTTGGTCAGTAGAAGCCACTTTCCAGAGGAAGAGAGGAACTGAAGGGCTCCTCAGATCAGACTCTCCCCGAAAGACAGAAGTGTCACCTCCGACGTACTACCCCCACACCTGAGTCTGGCTGTAAAGGCAGCGATGGGGAAGCTCCTTCCACCGGAAGGGTGGATTAAATCTTGGGAAGGCCCTCAAGGGCCACACGGCAATGGAGCCCAGAGCACAGTCAAAAAGGCCGGGGCCAAAAATTATACCGACAGGTTGCACCTGCCAGTCAGTAATCCTCAGAAGAGGCATTTCGGTCTGTTAGAATGCGGAAGGATACACAAAAGTTGAAGCCGCCCAGCGACTGGCGGTCTGAGGAAGGGGACGTCCAGAAGGCTGGATGGAAGCTCAGGAGAGCAAAAGCAGCCCTGAAGTTCCTCGGCTCTAGGAACCTCTAGGAACAGGGGTTGGACAGAATAGATAAGACATCAGTAAATGTCTCGGGGTATGTGTGTTTGATGAGGGATTGCTGCCAGCATTGGGTCGTGGTTAGAGTCAGCTGCGGCCCCTCGCCAATCTTCCAGGGAAACACTTAAGCTCTATGTTTCATGAGGAGGCCGAAGTGAGGAAGACCAAGCCAGGGAGCTTATGCGATCAGCTTCCAAACAGAACCACGTGCTCCTGCTGGGGAGCTGTTGCTGTTGTAGTTGGCAGCTTGTTGTCTGTTTCAATACTTTGAAAAAATTCCAAACTGCCTTGGGTGTTTTGATAGAAGGCACATGCAAGACAGACAGACAGGACTGGAACTCCCTGGATGCCCTTGGACCGCAGCCTTCCGGCCTCACCTACGCTGCTGAGCGGTTGTCAGGATAAAAGTAAAGATGGCAGCAGGTGGAGGGAGAAGAACCATGTCTATCACCCAGGTTCCTCATAGGAAACAGGATGCAAGTGTAGTAACTTAACTAATAAGTTACTAGTAACTTCACTAGCAAAGAGTCCTGTAGCTCCTTAAAGGCTAACCATTTTTTTAAAAAACACTTCACCAAAGTGGCAACACATTTCTTAGTTTTTAAGATCCCAACAGACTCTTTGCTGCTTTGGTCGCAATGGACTTCCATGGCTGCCACCTCCGGAAATTGGGCACTGGAAGCCTCCAAGTCAGCGTTCATCTCGGACACTTACCTTGGTGCCGGTGCTGGTTGGGGATGCGGAGAATGGGGAAGGTTTGCTCTGCTGGGTCTGTGACAGGAGAAACAGAGAAAGGAGATCAGCACGGACAGGCTGAGGACGCCCCCCCCCCCCACACACGTTCTACCACAACCGTTTCCCCAGTGACTCTTTCCGCCTTGTGCATTTCTCACCTGGTGGTTTGTGTCAGGTCCATTTCGTTCTGTATCTTGAACAAAAGAAGAAGAAATCATCACAGAGACAGCCTCAAGAATTCTTATCCCCAGTATGTACTGAACCACTTCTTCACAGGCCTCTGTGCCCAAAAAGATCCCAGGCCCACACCAAGCCTTTCAAACTGCTCTTTCTTCCCATCCCCTCAGGACTTGGCACGTTCCTTGCTGTTTGCGGTGGCTTGCTGGACTTGAATCCCAGCCATGAGGTTTCTTACGGCAAGGCAAGGATACCCTTAAGCCGGCAAGGTCTTTTTTGCTTTTCGCTGAAGTCCTGAGCTCCACCAGCCAAAGCAAAGTAAAAAAAAAACATGGCTCAGGAAAGAGAATTAATGAACAAGGTGCCTTGGAAGACCTGCTGAGCTGGGGAATTTGTTCTCAGTACTACCACTCAAGCTCAGACAAGAATCCTTTCACACATGCCTCTACCCCTGCTTTCCCCAAAGCTGCCTTGATTTCAGAATCTTGGTTTGTGCTTTTCATTTTCTGTGATGCTCAAGCATCGAGAGATAGAAATGCTCGCTCAGAGATTTACCAGGAAATTCAGTCTCCTTTCTGCCTGTCTCTGTCTTATGCCCTATTCTACTTTATAGACTATTCTATTTGTACTTAATATTTATCCTCATTTCCACATTGCAGTAATTTTTAGGATTCAGTTTTTTAGTCTAAATGGATACTTGCTTGTACATGTGTCTGTGTCTGTTGCTGTTGCTTTAGAGTTGAGCAAAACAAAACAAAAACCCTCTGGAAGGCTCAATTTCTATGTTTGTTGCTTTATTTATTTATATATTATTTAATTTGTATACCACCCAATAGCCAAAATCTTCTGGTCTCCCTGTCCCTTTCCCTCTAAGTAAGCCTTTCCAGCCTGTTGGATAACAGTTCCCCTTGCTGGCGTTGGCACAACCAGTGGCCCGTTTCCCTTGGCTTCATTTCCTCTTCTCCTCTAAAATAAACACCTTTTCGGGACTGGGCACTACTTCTTTCCTCCCATTCTTCACCACACACCACTTGCTCTCCCATACAAAGAAGGATTGTAAACAAGCAAATTAACAGTTGCATATCCATTGTTTCATATAGTTTCTTGAGTATAAATTCGATATGAATGGATCTTAAACACTAAACGATCTATTCCACTGCATAACCTCTAGGTGGCACTCTGCTATAGTAGAAAAGTGCAAACACACAAGATGCGATTGCACTTTCGTTCTCTTTCACAATTAAATGCGAGATGTTCCCTGCTCTAAAAAAAAACCTACCGGAAGTGCTAGTTAGACACAGAAGTGAAACTGAAGGGTCAGAAGAGCATCTAAAGAACCTGTAAACAACTATGAAGATGGAATGACAACCACACAGTAATTGCTTCATGTAGAAAAGCCCTTTGTCACATTCCAGCATGGCCCAGAAATGAAACTCAGAGTGAACAGTGGGGTTCTCAAGGCCCGCCTTAAGTTCAGTGGGTAAAAACGGGCAACAAACTGAGGCAACAGAGGAAGGGAGCAAAATTCTGTGCTCAGTTGGATGTAGAGATGACCGTCGTATCTCAGGACCCTCCTTTCAGCACACATATCCCTCAAAGATCACAACGAAGATACAGGCAAACCCCTATTGCTTCCCATCAGAAAGTGCTACCTGTGTGCTCTTCTTGTAGTTCCAGCCGCGCCTTCTCCAGCTCCAGGGGCTTAGACATTCTTACTTCTACGAGAGGAAGAGAAAAGGGGGAGAGGAAGATGGGGATGAAAGCTGAGCCAGACTGCAAAGGTGTGCCAAGCACAGGGGTAGAAATTACTGCAGAACACCTAGAACCTAAGCACAGATACAAATGTAGTTGGCATTCAGCATCAAGAAAGCAGAATTTAAAAGCTGTGTGAAAGCTGAGACTGTCTGGTGTATCAGTCATCGCTCGTGCCTTCCTGCTATCTCAGCCAGAACACCAGAAGGTAATTTACCTTTTAGTGTGCAGGTGGGCAGAATACTCTGCATTTTCCCCAATTACCTTCTACAAGTAAAAAGAACAGTTGCTTACTGTTTTTTTCCATGAAAGCTGCACATTCAGAAAAGGGGCCTGGAACTTCCTCTGGAGGTTCAAGGCCCCCAAGTCCACATCCTTCCCACCCTGCCCCATGGCTGCACGGGCCTTCCTGCTTTGCCCCATGGCTACTTGAAGCTCAGGATGCCCGACTCCCTGTTTGCCCTGCACCTTCTCACAGCAGAAGTGTAGCAGTTGCTTTCACCTGTATACATGCAAAAAAATATAAATGTTCTGTGATTCACAAGGCCTCATAGGTTTCCTTTTTAAAAACCCACCAGCATGTGACTAGCCCTTATCATTTGCAAGGTATCTGATAGGTTTGGTGCCAGTGCCTTGCGATGATTTCAGTGCTGAGGGAGGCAGTTTTTTAGCATTCTCTCCCACACAATTTCCAGTCACATTCTCGGGACTCCACTATCTGCTGTCACTGGGGACCAAGCTGCCTGTGATGCCGTGTCACTTCGACTGTGCTCCTCTGTTTTGTGATACGCATCCCCCCAAATTCTCTCTCCTCGTGAGGTTTCTCTTCAGCCAACTCCTTCTCAAAAGAAAGCAGTTCTTCACACAATGCATAAATAATTCCAGAAATTTGCTCCGATGGAATGATGTATTGGTGGCTGATTTAGATAATTTTGAGAGGGAATCAGATAAATCCACGGAGAAGGATCAGTTCTGTCGGGTCCTACTGGTCGTGATAGTCAAATAGATCTTGCATGGCTGGGACAGTAGGCCCTGAACCTGTTTGCTGAAAGGGTAACAGCAGAGTAAGACTGCTTCTTCCCTGCCATGTTTGATGCCTCTCCTGAAGTCTTTGAGGTGCTGGACAAAACAGACCTTTGATATGATACACTAAGGCTCGGTTGTTGTCCTCACTACAACCTCCAACATGACCAAGATCTTATGCTGGGAAAATTTATCTTGCGCTCCCATCTTCTTGCTGGTTCCATGCCTAGAACCAGGCCGAGTTTGAGACAAGATGGAGACACTTCATATAATCAATTTTGTGCAAAGCACACTAGCTTAACTACTTGCCTACCTATAAAAATGGCAAACACGCTTAGAAAAGCATTTACACATCCCCATCTTCACCGTATAGAAATAGGATATCGCACCGTAAGTATTTAGTATTGAGAAAGGCTATTTTTTGCAAGGTGTTGTATGAAAATATCCTTACTTCTCCAACAGGCTAAATTTCTTCTCTCTAGCAGCTCACAAGAGCAAGTGAAACAGATGGTTCTGTGTGCCACAACCCCATTTCTCTGGGCTGGGGAACGAGAATAAGAAATAACGAAAACTTCCATAGGTTCTCAGCACCAAAACTGTCCATTCCAGCCCTGGCCCTCAAGTTCCAACAAACGGATCAGCCCAATCCAGACCACAGTGGACGTCCTGGCAGGAACGGGTGCTGTCAGACAAGGCACTCCAGTATAATAAATACGTCATTGCAGTATGGTCGTTTGAGCGTGATTTGGTTAAAATGCGGGGGAGGTCAGAGGGTGGGACTTCAGTATGGTATCACCCCATCTTCCCCCTGGCTTTTTCTCCCATACTTTCTCCCCAGTATTGTGGCTTGAGGAAGGGAAGATTGCTTGCTAATATAAGGCTCAGCCCCTAGAATATGTACGTTTGAACTGACTGAAGCAAATTCCCCCTCATCAGCACCCTCTGTGATGGCAAGCTTTAGTGAGAAGACTTCCACCGCTTTCTGTCCTTCACATTCATTGCCTCAGGAACTGCCTCATGGAAAAAGGATGGCCACTCGCTGGTTTGGGCCCAGTTCTGCCCCAGTCTGGCCATCCACCTCCTACCTGAACCAGACCAGCCAGCAATGGTGGGGAAGGGGGAAAAGAGCACCGTCTTTTTTCTAGGCTGCTGCCTCCATTTCCCCCACAAGTTCAGAGCTTTAACACAGGTTGCCCTCTTATTTGCATAAACTTAATGAGTCACACTCAATGAAATGGTGACCTGCTGAACTGAGCTAGACCTCAGCATGACAGCAGGGGACCAGGGGCCAAGAAAAATGAGGGGACCCCCACACAGGCCGAGTGTGGAAGGTCAGTGCTCCAGAGCGTGCAAGTCACATTTGTAACTACACATTAAACCAGCAACCAGCCCATTTCACTACACTCTGCGCAGTAAAATTCTCTTTTCCATTTGACAATATAAAAATGGATGCACTTCCGCAGAGGTGCTTTGCATCGCCCTGTCAAAGGCTGAGAAGAATGGTACTCTGTGCATGTGATCAGAAATGCGGAGAAGCCGCCAGGGAGGCAAATAAAAAGCCCCCCCCCCAGTATTTGAAAGGAGAGCCCCCCCTGCAAATGATCAAGCTACCCTGAGGTAAGCTCTCTCACCAGGGGTTGCCTGTAGGAATCGGCCAACTGGGAGACATCCTCTACTCCACCACATTTCCAGTGCCAAGAGGCGGGAAGGTGTGCCTTCAATTCTCCAGGCAACTGGCTTACCAAGTCGTTACTGGTATGTCATGGTACACCGTTCTCTGCGTTCTTCAGCTCTTCACCCAATGCACATGCCAGCCCCCACTTGGTCTGTTCCCATGCACTGAAAAGGACGGAAATTCCACCCTTTCACTGATGCTTGTTGCATTTTTATGCTGGCAGCTAAAGCGTTAACACTCGGGCAGCAGTGCAGGAGGTTGGCCAGGACTGCTTCCCCCATCCCTGGACTTCCATACCATGATAGACTAAACCAGCTGAATTCCTCTACCACACCCTTAGCAAAAGCACAAACGTCCTGCCGGACTGAGAGAGAGAGAGAGAGAGAGAGAGAGAGAGAGAGAGAGAGAGAGAGTCGCAAGCCTTCTCAGGAAACACTGAGGCGGCCACCCACCTCGTTCCTCCAGCCGACTCATAGACAAAGTTTCCCAGCTAGGCAGCAGTCCCTAGAGGATCGCTCCACCTCTGCTTCCTATCCTGCCCTCCAGCACCCTCCAAAATGCCCCACACTGACGGGAAGAAGAGCTTCTGCGTAACTAGTGGGACCTCCAGCCACAGCTCCATGCTCGGACCTGCAGGCGCAGCCAGCCGGGCCCCCGACTTAAGGACACTTAAGTCCATCCCACCTGCCCCCAGAGGTCACACTGGACAGTTCGGGACTCCCCCCACCCCAGGTTTTCTTATTTTTTCCCCGCACTTCTGCAAATCTTGGGGTGTTCATAAGCCTACTCTGACGGAGGATACTCTTTCGACCAGTAGAAGAAGTGATGTCGCGATGCGCTGTCCTCGTTTGAGGAGTGCCCGTCGTAAGGTTGGCCTCCTATTTCAATGGCTCAGACAAGCAGATGACATGCAGGTGAAGCATTGGCCACAAGTTCCCGTTTTGGTTCGGTTAGTCCACAAATAAAGGCACCAGAGTAACGTCAGGGGAGAAAGTTGACAACCCTATAAATAGGACGAGTGCTGATGATGGAGATGATTTCATTGCATAGACATCCTACCTTTTTCCTCATGTGAGGAACCCAAGGTGGTTTACGTAGTTCCATCGTATCCTCACAACAAGAACCTTGTGAAGGAGGTTGGGCTGAGAATAAGTTAGTGACTGGCTCAACGTCACCCCATGAGTTTCATGAAGGATGGGAACTCAGACCCCGATCTCCCAGGTCCCCAGACCAAGACTCCAGGCACAGCGGCCCTCATTGTTTCCATCCCCATAGTGTAAAAAGTGCATTCTCAGGGAAGACAGCAGCAACTAACAGATTAGAAACTTCTACAACTTCTGATAAAAGAGAAAGGAGACGGTACTTTTATGTGTAAGACATTGTCAAGCTAGTTCTGAGAAAGAATAGAAGCTAAAAGGGATTTTTCACAAGAGCCCTAAAACCACCTTTTAGACTCCCATGTCACTTCTGAATATTATTTATTTAGCAGACTTATTCGCCTAAGCCTCAGGGCGGCTTACAAATAAATATCCCTAATACTGTTGGCATAAAGCCAAAATTAGAATTTTGCTGCCATAATCCCTTTTCATTAGCATGTTTTTGATCTTCGTGTTGCTGCCGGCTTTTACTTTTTTACTTTTACTTCGCCTTTTTTTTGCTTTTATTCTGTTTTAAATTTGATTTTTAAATTACATTGTGCTGTGTTAACATATTTTATTTAAGTTTTGATCTGTGAATTTACCAAAATGATTTGGCTATTGGGTGGAACAGAAATGTTAATACATCAGTAAAATTGATGTAAAATTATGGAAAGCCAGTATGGCACAGAGGTTAACAGTGTTGGAATGGGACTCAGGGGATACAGGTTATTATTAATAATGCATTGCATTTATATCCCACCTTTCATTCTCTTACACAGAACCCAAAGCTGCTTGCAAAGTTCTCCCCATCTCCATTTTAGCCTCACAACAACAACCCTGTAAGGTAGGCTAGGCAGAGAGGCAGTCACCAGCCCAAAGTCACCCAGTGGGTGCCATGGCTAAGTGGGAACTAGAACCCAGTCAGACTCTCAACAAGGTTGTTGTGAGTATCAAAAGGAGGAGAGGACTGAGTGAGTTGCCTTGGATTCCTTGCAGTAAAAGGGATATAGATGTAATAAATAGTCTTCAAACATAGTGGAATTGCTTCAAAGCAACCCGTAGCACTCCAGCCGCTGCATGAATGCCTCTGGCCCACGCGTGAGACTCAGAGATGTTCTCAGAAAATGAAGATGGGGCGCTGCGGGCTGATGTTTTCCTCTGTGATGCTCCCAAGAAACAGAAGACAAAAAGGAAGTCTCCTGTCTGATAAGCTGGGGGAACCAGCAAGAAGAGCAGCAGGCAGCTGGTGTGGTTCTGTGAAATGGGTTTCTTTTGTTGCTGAAAGACAGGTTCAAACGAGCTTTTGGGTCTTGGGGTTCAGCCTGCAGGTCCACCTTCCATTCAGTCTTTTGCATAGGTTCACTGGCTTTTGCAAACAGCCGGTCCTCCCATGGCAGCCATTCTCTAGTGGCGTGCCTGGGACAGTTTCTCAAATTTCCAACTGCGTACGCAGGCGCAAAATGTTGCCTATCACTTTAGGCCATCGCTCTTCTCCGTGGGAGCTGCCCTTGACAAGCGCTCAGAAACTTCGACGGCAGCAAAAGGCATCCTCCTGGGCGCTGGAGGAGTTAAGTAATCGCGCATTGTGACATCAAGAGTGTGCCAGTGTAGCTGCGTGCCAGTGCTTTTCCTGGACTGATAAAAAGCCCCAGTATGGACCCAGCCCCAAAGCGTTTAGGGCCAAGAAAGAATACCTTTGCCTCTTCCAACCTGCCTCTTCTTTGAGGTCAGCGTCTAATTCGTGGGCACCAAGATCCTGTACTTCGCTTTTATTGTAAGACCATCGCAAGACTATCTGGTAGTGGACGGTATGGAGGAGTTTTAAATAAATAAGATCCTACCACTCGGAATGGCATTGTGCATTCTGAACGGATTCTGCACCCCAAGTGTCAGAGGAATGTCAGAAAAGCAAGCATGGAAGAACTACAAGTGATGACAATGACATCAGCCTCCAGTGAGGCAAGAAAAGACTTATCTGAAAGCGTTTGCCTACCAGTGGGACTAATTGTTTTATGGAAGACAGGGCTTTCTCAGTTGTGGCCCCACACTTCTGGAATTCTGAAATACGCAGAGCCCCACTCTTGCAGGTTTTTATGGGTTCTTCACCCATCCATGATCTTTTTCTAAAAACCTCTTTCTAATAAGGTTAACTATCATGCCACTGGTTTGCTTTGAAAAATCTGAAACAAGTTTTATTTGCTTTATTGTTGTTCTGCTGGGGAGGGTGACTGTTCCTCATCCAACTGTTCTTATTGCTATTTCATTGTAAATTTTATCATGATTATAGTTGAATTTGAGGATTGATTGTATTTCTATATGATCCTTCATTTAGGTGGAAGCCATCTAAAAGGTAATTTTAAAATGTCATAAAATAAATACATGCATAATGGAGGGCTGGGACTCACAGATGTGGTGCACCCTGACCTAAAGCGGACGAGAATAGCTGCACTACTCCTTTTTCTGCTTGTTAAAGATTTTTCTTAGACGGAGGAAGGAAAACATGCGAAGAGAAAAATGCACTAGGAGCAAATGACACTGGCAGAGAATGACGCAAAACTGTAGCAAGCGAAGGATTGCAAAAATGTAAGGATATAAAAAAATTAAAGAGTGGGGTTTCTTATACTGAAGTTCTTGAAATGACTCCTAAGACTGAACAGGTTCTGAAATACTGATTTAATAAATTAAGCCTGCAACTTTTGTCCTCAGCCCTGTTCGCCCTGCCTTTGACAGCAGCCTTGGCAGATGGGGAAACAGCAGATTAAGTTTTTCCCATCATTTCTTGCCATGCCCCAAACACTTCACCGGTTGAATGTCTGAGTCTCCGGCGGCTCTGATACAGACCCAGAAGCACTTAGTTCAAAGCCCGGAACCTGAGAGGGCTTCTGGGCACTCAAAGCTGAACAGACTTTCACAAAGTGCAGACTTGCTCAGGGTAGAACCTCATGGGTTGGAAAAACCCGCAGCTGTAGGATTTCTTCTTGTTGAGGCCACGGTACAAGACAGCTCTCTCTGGGGCTACTGGCAAATACAGCAGAACACAAGCAACTGGTTTCCCAGCCTCTCCCCCGCCCTCCAAACTGCTAGCCACCCTTTGCCGGCTTTCACTTCTGCTTCCCGCTTCCCTTTCACATTTTTAGATGTTTTAAAAACAGCCTCCAATTTACTGAAACCCTAGCTAAAAATGGATGCCCAGAAACCATTTTGCTGCTAGAGACACTGGTTTTCCTACCCACAGCAGCCAGTCCCACTGTGCTCCATTTGCTCTCAGAAGCATCCTGGGGAGGTGAAAGTTGGGATCAAGCAGCTGGGGGGGGGGGGCAGGTGGAGAGGAAGGCAGGGCTACAGTGCCTTTTGATTGTTTCCTAGGGACTGGTCTGCAGTCTTGTATGCCAGGCTGAGCAGACCAAAATCCTCCCTTCCAAACGACTATCAAAAGTAAAAAGCTCTTGTCTTCCTTTGCATCCTGTCATCCTACAGACGGCAAAGCAGCTGCAAAGCAACACACGCCGAACTCTAACAGTCAGGAGGCACCGTGCATCCATTCTGCCTTTTCTGCCTTGAAGGTTGTGTGTGAGTGTGACAGAAGATGCTGTAGAAAAACATGGGAGTTTGCCAGCTGAAGACAGGCTGCGGCGCTCTGTAAAGTTCTGTGAATGAGGAGAGGCAATCGCAGGACCAAATCTGTGTCTAGAAGCCCCTGACTAAGCTTAGTGCAATGTTCTCAGCCAGGGAGGGGCCGCCAAGGGACCAGAGCACAGGCTGCTCCTCTGCCTTTAGAAGAACCTTGTTCTGCAGAAAGCAGCAGCTGATGTTTTGCAAGTACGGGTATAAATTGAGCATGGCTGCACCGGTAAGCTGAAAAGCTGCTCAGCTAAGTTAGTGTTCCTAGTTATTTGACCAGCTTTTTTTCCTTATGTCTTTAAAAGCTAAGTGACATTCAGTGGGTGTTCCTTCCCAAAGACTTTCCTAAGATCATGGCATCCGGTCCCATCACTTCCTGCCAAATGGATAGGGAAGAAAAGGAGGTAGTGTCAGATTTTATTTTCCTGGGCTCCAAGATCACTGCAGACGGGGACTGCAACCAAGAAATTAAAAGACGCTTGCTCCTTGGGAGGAAAGCTATGGCAAATTTAGACAGCATACTAAAAAGCAGAGACATCGCCCTGCCAACAAAAGTGCGTATAGTCAAGGCTATGGTTTTCCCAGTTGCAATGTATGGCTGTGAAAGCTGGACCATAAGGAAGGCTGAGCGCAAAAGGATTGAGGCCTTTGAATTGTGGTGCTGGCGGAGACTCCTGTGAGTCCCCTGGACCGCAAAGCGATCAAACTGGTCAGTCCTAGAGGAGATCAACCTGACTGCTCTTTAGAAGGCCAGATACTGAAGATGAAACTCAAATACTTTGGCCACCTAACGAGAAGGAAGGACTCCCTGGAGAAGAGCCTGATGCTGGGAACGATTGACAGCAAAAGAAGAAGGGGGCGGCAGAGGATGAGGTGGCTGGATGGAGTCACTGGGCCAGTGGGTATGAGCTTGAGTGGTCTCCGGGTGATGGTGGAGGACAGGAAGGCCTGGAGGACTGTTGTCCATGGAGTCGGACACAACTAACAACAACAACTTTCTGCCTGGCAGACAGCTTTTGGGCAGATGTCCCTCTCCTGGTAACCTGTCCAGGCAGCTTTGGCTTTTGGGTGGTATAAATATGTAATCAAAGAAACGCAGTGAAACCCAGGTGCCCCCACACACCTGCTGCTCCCCCTGCATCTGCTGGGATTCTCTGCCCCATCCTATCCTTCCTGGCACTGACAGCCGCACGAGGCCAGGCTGGAAGCGCACCTCGCAGGTGCACAGACACGCAGGTATCATCGCCCGTGCCGAACGCCCTGCAGCGATCTCGTGCCAAATGGTCCTGCAGGTTTCTGATTTGCCACCAAGAGCTTTGAAACAGAAACAACAGCGGGAAGTTTCTGCGCAGCACGGTGAGCGGCAGCTCTGTGACTGCCTGGTGCGAGATGCGTTCAGCCGGTCCGGCAGAAAAGGAACCTCCCAGAAGAAACCCCTGTGTTTACAGGAGAGCTGGAAAGAGAGCAGTGGAAGGAAGAGGAGGGAAGGCACGTGCCTGTCCCGGGCCCTGGACTCGCGCGCCTGCTGCCGCTTACCTGCTGCCCACAGGCCTGAGTTCACCATGGCTATCGTTCCTCGGGAGGAGAGAGGGCATTGGAGAGTCCTGCCCTCCCGGACAGACGGCGCCTGTTCCAGAGAGGGGAAGAGCGAGTGGCGGGACCAGGAAGGGCCTCAGTGCTAGGGCCAGGTCTGGGGGAGTCCCCGCGCTGAAGAAGCAAGAACACTGAATGCGGCAGGAAGCAGCTGGGAGGAAGAAGCCATGGCAGGGCGTGTGTGGGGGAGTGCAGAACGCTGCAAGGGCTGGCATACGACGCACGCATGTGGCCGAGCGGGGCTGCTCTCCACGGCCACCCCTGCGGCCACAGGCGGCCACCCGTGGGGCTGCCGGGCCAAGAGCCCCAGCACACACGTGCCCAGAAGCCCCCCTGGGCTGAGCGTGAGGGGTCTGTACAAAGCAGACATTCCAGGGCATGAGCTCAGAGGAAGGCTTTCTTGCAGTTCACACCAAGTATGTAAATAGGATTGCAACCAGTTGTATCCTTTCGGCTCTGCTAGCTGAAAGCTCTAGCTCACTAAACAATTTATCCGCTGCCTTTTAAGGTAAATGCGCTCAAGGTCGTGTGCAAGACAGCAACCTATGTTCCCCTCCGCAGGGCATGTGCACCGTGCTTTGGAAACCCAGGGTGAGCAGCTCTCCTCCATAATGATGCCCATTGCTTAATCCCTTGCTGAACGGAGCAGGGCCTCCTCAGATACTCCCTTCCCTGCCTTCTTTCCAGCTGCACCAGTCCACCAAATCCTGCAGGCAGCTCCAGACCTCCTCTCCTCTCCACTCCACATCTCTTAATGAGCAGCAGCACTAATGAGCATCCACCATTGCTCACCCAGTGGAAGGAGCAGAGCAAGCCAGACTAGCAGCCTGGAGAGGAGAGAGGAGGACTTTGCCACCAGGCCTTAAGTTCCAGACCCCAATTTAGCATGATGTCCTCCATCCCTCGCCCCGTGCTGATTCTGAGCCCAAGAACAACACGTACAGGTCAATAAATAAATGTTCCATTGTGGAACTAGAAAGGGCAATAGCTGCACCGGAAATGCTGCAGCCTGTGGTCACTTTGGATAGTTCCAGATGAGGTTTTTACTGTGCGATTGCCCGGCCTCATTCATGGGCTTTCACAGAAGATCCCTAACGCCATTGCCTTCCACTTGCAACTGTGTTTCCCCACTGCTTTTCCTGTCTTTTTTCTTCCCACAAGGGGTACTTCCACAGGGCAGGTTCCTAGACAAGCCATCACAAGGCACCATGCAGCTATCTCATCTTTTCTTATGTCACCCATTTTGGGAGGAAAGAAGAAAGATGGAAGATGCAGAAAGGGAACGTGGGAAGGTTAGAAGGAGATAACATCATCTGGATGGGGACATGACACAAGCCTTGACTAGACATAGCTTTTGCATAATAAATACCTCGTGTGGAAGCAGCAGATGAGAAGGAAAATACGCATTCTCATTAGTGTTGAGAACTGACTGTCTAGCAGCATCCTTGGGCGGTGCTTACAACCTCTTTACACAGGCAAGCCTGAGAATTTACTCACTACTAGAGAGTTACTCACTACCAGACCAGAGATGAAGAACTTCTTTCAGCTCAAGGTCTGAATTTGATTTTAGAGAAAGCTCCCAGGGGCTGCAACCCCTCCTCAAAAGCTATGAGACCTGATTGTAACTGACTGTGCTGAGGGAAGGGCTCTCTGCTCATGCTCAAGGTCACTTTTCATCTTTCATGAACTGTAAAGCTGATCTCCAGCATCCAGCAAAGATTCTGGGGCTGAGCACCGAGTCTTTAAAGCCGGTAAACAGGCAGCGGGTGCCTGCAGACAAAGGATTTCTAGTGCTACCAGCCCAAAGAGATTCCACAGTCATTCCATCCTTCCCTCCTCAACCAATTTTTTGCAGGAAGAAAGGACAGAAAAGCAATCACCGGAGGGTTGCTAGCAGAATCGGATGTTGTCTGGACCACTTGTAAAATCCTATGAACGAAATCCCATACAAGCTCTAGCTGGCCACCACGAGCCTGCACTTTTGTCTGCAAGCCACTGGAGGGAAGCAGAGGGCCACCAATTCTCACACGCACCTGTGGCAATGTGGCCCACGACCTCCCGGAGACAACACAGATGCACCAGAAGTCTCCTATGCAGAAGAACCGTCACATTCCCCCTCGGCAGCTTCAAACACGTGCATAGGCATCTGCTCTGAATACTACTCCACAGAGCCTCACAGGAGAGCCAGAGGTGCACAGAGGTTCTTGCAGCTGGGCACATTCCCGGTGGATGCACGGCCTGTGGGGGAAGGCCAGATTTCATGCAGGGAGCGTGAGTTGCTGCCCCTAACATGTCTGAAGCAGCAAGCTGCGTGCACACACACGAACACACGGAGTGGGAAGAGGGAGCATCTGTAACTGGGATCTGTACTGAACTCTGGACAAAATTTGACCATGGTACACAGTAACTTGTAGCACCCCACAAAGATCTATGTTCTCAGTCAACTAAAGTAAAACATAGACTGCCCAGAAAATGATGCACAGCCTTCTTCATTTCGGCTGAGACTCATGGGGTGCAGGAGAGTTACACACACACACCATAGGTAAAAATGCAAGTAAATAGGGAGGAGGGTAGGAATCACACACACAAAATTAACACATTACCAAAGCTAGCAGAGGATAATGCAGTGGGAACTAAAGCACATTGCCTGCAAGCAGAACGTCTCAGGCCCTGCACTCAGCATCTCCAAGGTTCTCCTAGAGCCTGAGCCTACCTTATCTTGGAAGCTAAGCAGGATCCGCCCTGGTCAGAATTTGGATGGGAGACTTGAGTCCTGCATTGAGCAGGGGGTTGGGCTTCTAGACCCTTCCCAACTGAGTTCTGCAGGAACCTCTGCTAGCCGGAGAGGACAACACCAGATTCTATGGACTCCCTATAAAGCAAATTTTCACTTAGTGGGGCCCAGCACTTTGATCCATTCTGTAGCCCCAAACGGGTGATCCAGCCTCAGTTCCTTATCTGTAAAATGGGACTATCAGAACTCTGCCTCACAGGTGTTTTATGAACACAGAGCTGCAAAACAGTTTTGTATGTTTAAAAGTGCTACACAGCTCCTGAGCAGCTTAACCGAGAAAAGATGCCAGTGCTGTTCTGCGCATCTTTTATGAAACAAGAACAAAACTAGGTGGTAACAGCACCATCCTTAACATGTTTACCTGGATCTTTAACGGGACTCAATCTAATATGACCTGCTAATACGACTCAAGGCTTATGATTGCAGCCCAGATTCTCAGATGCTACATGGAGACGTGGGCCATGGTTTAATTCTCGGAGAAAAAGTTCCAGCATGAATTTTAAAATCAGGCTTTGCAGCAAAGATTATCTACAAGCTCCTCTCAGGATCGTTGCATCCATAGCTGCCGGAGGCAGAGAAGGGCAGCAGAAGACACGGTGCCAGGGAAGCGCTGGCCTGAGATGCCAAGCAGAAGCCTGGAAGATGTGGGCCAGTCCCGGGTGGCGCTCCTTCCCCCAAGGTGGCGCCCATGGGCTGCTCCGAGCGCTCTTGCACCTGCATCTCCTGGCCACCGCAGGTCTGGGACGGTGGCTCCAGACCAGACCTCCAGAGTGCCTAAGGCAACAACTGCGTACCAGGAGCCTCTCGGTTGGCCTCGGGATGGGAGGAGAGCCGCAGGTTGAAACTGCGGGGACCTCCTCAGCGCTGCTGTGACGAAGGTGGGAGGAGCAGGCGGCAGCCATACCCCCTCCCCACGCCTCACACGCACAAACACCCCCCCCCCGGTGCCGCCCATGAGGAACCTGTGGCTAGAATAGCAATGGACCTGCAGGTCAGCAGCGATGAGCAGGAGCTGAGCTGCCCTGCCCGGTCCTGTCTCCCTGTTCCCGCGGCTGGCTGAGGCGGGCGGTAATGAGAGGAGACGGCCGGTGTCGCGGGCGCTCCCCCGGGGCTGTGGTTATTGTATGTGACGCGCCGGCTCCATCGCGCTGCTCATATTTCTCCCCCGATCAATACTTTTGACTCCCTACAAGACAATAATCGCTTGTCCGCGGCCGCCAGTCGATCAAATACATTATTAGAGTGTGCTCCCGGGGGAGCAAGGAGCAGGGCGGGCGGGGGAGGGGAGCAGCAGGCGGGGGGGAGGTGGGGGAACCTGGCAGGTTGGGGGGGCCAGTGGCAGAAGGCAGGACAAGTTTGCATTGGGGTGGTGGAGGAGGGAACGTAGTGTTCGATACTACTTCCTTGGCTTGGGAGGAAAAATGGCCACTCTTTGGCTCCATGTTCGCCGGAGCACCTCACGGACCATGCCCTCATTCAAGGACTAGATGCGCAGTAAAGGGGAAGGCAAAACTTTCCGGAGAAGTTTTGGTAGCTGTGGCAAACTTCTGAGTTCCCCCCGAATTTCTCAGACAACTCACCTGAAACGTCTCCAGATTTCCAGACGTTTTTGCTTTCGTTCAAGTCCACCGATGAATTCTGAACATGCAAAGGCCTCCTGAGAAATTTCACCCATCCCATCAAAAGTCTTCCAACTTCCCTCGGATATTTCATCACGCAGGAAAACCGATGTTTGCTGCAAAGTTTCCTTCAGGTGAGATTTCGGTGGCAGCAAGGCTGAACAGTTAATGTTTGGCCATCCTGCCAAACCCGAGTTTAGCATGAGTCGAATCAGCCACAACAAGCCTCAGGCTAGGATGTTCTGCCCCTTCCCCTCTCCTCCGGACAGATCCCAAAGAGCATAAAAGTTCCTGTTTCCCTCTTAAGTGCAAATTAGCAAGTCATACAAATGCTAAACATTAGTTAATCTTTACTATAGGTTTATTGAAAGAAGCCAGCTTTCAAAAGCATGGTTTGAAGTTGGCTCATTTCCACTAACCGTGGTCAAGATTATCCACAGTTTGCTTGGTTCAGACATTTCCAGATGCTTTGCATGTAGGAAGTCTCATATCCCGTTCCCAGCATCGATAGTAAGAAGGAACCCAGGTGCCAATAGTGTCATAGACCCTTTACCTAGGAACCCACAAATATGCTTCAAAGTTTTATAGTACAGGGCTAGAAGAACAAAAAAAAAGGGAGTTCAACGCAGAACATCATCACAGTAACGCAGTAATATATTTAAATTAGCAGATGACAACGGCCTTTAGTGTTCAAATAAACAGAACGTGAT